CACACACACACACACACACACACACACACACACACACACACACACACTCTGCTCTACCCCATGGCCCATTCACTCATGCTAAGACAGTAGGATGATGAAGTTGCCCTGAGGTGGGGGGTGTACAAGGCAACAGGTTTCACTCTGGAGTCACTGGGTGTAAAACAGCAATGCTTGCACTGTTGCGGGTAGGTCAAATTGGGTGGTCATGTAAACATGTTATCCCACAGTAAACACAGGCAAAGGGAGTGTATCTGGGATAACTTTCCTGCAAAACTGCACGTGAACATTTGGCGAATCCAGCTTGTGAGGATGGACAGCTACAGGGTGTGCAAACACCCCACAAAATAAAGGTCTACGTGGTTGTTTAAGCTCTATGGGAGAGATGTACAGCTCGGCTCACATGGGTAAGGGAAACACATGGTATAAATAGCACAAACATCAGTGGCCCTGCAGGTGGTGATGGCGCGTCTCCTCATGTGGTGACCTCACTAACCAATGGATGGGATGGGCCGTTGCTGAGGAGGGTTGCCGATGTGAACCGGCCTCCTCCCCGAGTGGTCCAGACGATCAGCATTTCCATAAGATGATGAGTTCCCAATGATCTTTAGAGTAAAAAAACAAAAGACACGAGGTTAGAACAACAAATTGTCTGCATTGGGAAGATAAGCAAACATTAAAAAGAATCCCACAATCCTGGTAAAACAACTAAAAAAACCATAAGAGCAAATGATTTGACTTCCATTTGTCCTTAGGGAGGCAAAATGATATTTAATAAAATCCATAAAACAATAAGAAAACCCAACAAACCATTAAAACAAGTAAATCAAATCAACCCCCAACACAACAACATGGACTGGGGGTCAGGACGGGTCAGATGTTTAGCTAAAGACCATTTGTTTGGTTTGTTTTGTTCTGTGCATGTCAGCTCCTTGATGAGAAAAGAAAGCAAATGGCAGCACAAAAGACTGATGAGAATGATGAGTAAACAGAGAGAAAGAGTGGATGAGAGGAAAACTGAAGTGTGAATATGATCAAAAATGAATTAAGATAGTTAGATAGCAATTATAGCTTCAGCCTGGGGCTTTGTATTACAACAATCAAAACATTTAATATATAAAAAATGATGATGAACAAGAAGAGTTTTTGCTGAAACAAGTGGAAGAGACAAGCAACAGATGATGCGTATGGGGTTGAAAGGGTAAATGAATAACCGCAGGCTACAGAAGTCTTGATCTAGCTTTATTTTGTATATGAAGCAATGAGAGGCGGGAGATGCTGCAATAATGCTTCAAGCACAAGGTGGAGCGATATGGCTGCAGCTGAAGGGTGAGCCGTGGAGAGTAACAAATGAAGCCTGCAGCTGAGAGAAGGCAGGGGAAGAAAAGACAGGAGCAGTGCTTCCCCATTCATTGCACACAGACTTTCCTTTAAATGGAACCTTTCCCCTCAAAGACATGAGAAGTCAAAACTTAGTTAAATGGCCTTTAGGTAATTGAAAGCTTTACTTTAATACCACCTGACATACAAGCAAAGTAACTCACTCAAAATGAAACATTGAATCAGACCAACCATGAACATGTGATAACTTGTCATAAAATGAAGAACAAAATGCCAAATGAAAGAAAGAAAAGGGGGTAATCATAAAGAAAAACAGACAACATTCAGAAAACAGAATGGCTGCAGCTTGCTGATGAATAGTACAGCAGAAAGTCTGAATCACACACCAGCGGCTGGTCCCGGTTGAGCCTGGACAAAGACTGGGCCCTAGCCTCCCTGTGGGGGCTGTAATAGACCCTGTCCAGCTCGTTCAGCCTGCCCTCGCTCAGAGCCCCATCCCTGGAGTAGTTTCGCGGCTCGGCCTCCCGACCAGGCCCAAAGTGCTCCCTGTTCCTAAAGTCACCAGTGTGTACCGACTTGGCTGCAGTCACTTGCATGTCAGAGAACTCCTCCTCCACGCTGCCCTGGCGGGTCAGAGTTCTTTTCCGGCCCATTGCCAGTGCCCGCCTTTCTACCGGGCCTTCACAGTGAATGATGTGAACAGGCCCCCGCATGGGGCTGCCATGAGAGTAGTACCCTCGATACCCACGGCCTAGAGAGCCTTCTTCCTCACTGCCGCAGTCTAAACCACTGTCAGGACTCTTGGTGTTCTGGCGGTTGGGTCGCACCAGGCCGCGGTCGTCTGCGTTGTAGCCGTAGCGGCTGTCGGTGAAGCGTGGGGAGGAGCGCTGGCGCTGCAGGTGGCGGGAGTTCTTGCTTTGGGTGAGGTGGTTGTGCTGCGGGTACATCCTTCGCTGAGTGCGTGGCGTTCTGGGCCGCCCGCCCTCTTCAAAGCGCAGGCGCTGGCCCATGCTGTCCACGCAGTCCGACTCTTCCTCCGCCACCTCGGGGATGCTGTGAAGACGCTTGCTGCGGAGCGACTTCTGCTTCACCACCTCCCGCTGGAGATCCCAGCAGTCTCTTTCCTCGGCTAAGTCCTGACGCTTGTAATAAGCCTTCAGTCATGACCAGGAGGCAAAGTTCCACAATTTCAAATTTCAGTTAGTCAGTTCAATTCAAAAGGTTGAGTTTAGATTTTTTTTGTGAGGAAGGTTGAAAAGTTTTTTTCGGAGGTTTTTAGAACAGGCAGGAAACAACACAGTATGTGAATAGAACAAATGGGGGGGAAAGACAAAATAAAGACAGAATTAGTTATTTGTGGCAATGTAGTAAGACATGCAGTCTCATTCCGTGAGGAGAAAATGGCATGCTCTGAACAGGAATCTGAGAAGGCTCAAGTGTGGAGTGATAACTGATAAACTGGGCACACAGGTTAAATGTGGAGAAGGGAATTTCACTTGTGAGAAATTGGAAATATCCAAACAAAAAAGAAGTAAACAGGCTTAGTTAGTGCCACGGGTGAGGGTTAAATGAAACATCAATGTGCATGAAATGAATTAAAACATCTTTAAAAAAAGAAGAACAAAATGAAGCTGGGAGTGGAAGAATCAGCTGCTGAGGACATACTGTATTAGGACACGTCTTTAGCAACAATTTCAAATGTAGTGAAAGATACAGAACTTCCTTCAGTGTGCTCACAGAAAAAAACAGCAGAAGCAAATTTGACAATTCATCTTACTACTATTCCCTTAACAATATCGAATTCAATCTAATTAAAATTCATATTTTGATATCATAACTATACAGATTTTAAAATAATAATGTGTATACAGAAATAAAAGGGGGTTGGACAATGTGCAACAGTGATTCACAAATAGATGGCGATGACAAAAAGGAGATGCAGCATTGGTGTATTTAAAGAGTTAATACACTAATGACTACTCATCATGAACAACACATTCCTGTACACATTAACCTTCCCAATTGTGCAATGATTTTGTACTGACTTCTGGTAGCAGGTCTACTTTAATAACAGAGGACCAATCAGCTATAGTACCCTCACCCTGGCAGATTGCCTTTACATCCACACATCCCCACTGACAGACCAAATGAAGACAGGATCATGTACTGACAATGTTAACATTTACATTGACAAATAGGAAAATTAAACATTTGGACATGACAGACGTAAACAAGCGTGAATATTTCCATTTAAGTACTCACTTAAATGAGATTCCCATGTGCATTTGATTATGACCCTTTGATACAGTACAGTATATTAAAATGTGCACTTCAAAATCACAGTCTAACGTTTGACTTTAACACTTGAGCATGCGGTACACACAGCCATTCCCATGAGCTCAGCTTTGATTGACTAATGCAGTGCTGGAGGGGGCGGGTGTAGGAGCAGGCTGGGGTGGGACTGCTGCTTCAGCTAAAACAAGGCAGGGGAGCTCAGCCAGGCAAAGCCACGACGGGCCTGGTTGTAGAGCCTGTGCGAGAGAGCGAGTACCTCTGTAGGTGGCACGACTCCCACCCTAAACCCCTTGTTGCCTCTGGCCTCCCCCTGGCCACTACAGACTGAAAGTGTGCAGTGTGTACCTTAAGAGTGTTGTGAGAGTTGATGCTGCGCCTACGGCCTTCCTCCAGTTGCATTTCAGAGTAAAGATCTTCCTCATCCTCCTCCATTATGTCGGACAGGTCCGAACCCCGGCTGCTCTCTGTCTGGTACTCTTCACTGTGGCTGTAGTGGTGATGATGATGCTAAGGGAAAACCAGAGAGAGAGGTGGTGAAACGGAGCATATTAGGTAGAGATCAACAAGTCAAAAGTTTTATATTCTTATCTTTTTATATACAAGTGCAGAAGTAGCTAAAAACTTTAATTGGCTGAACATACAGAATTTCCTTTAGCTTTTATTGTTGATATATGTATAAAAAAGCCTACAACTATTGTTTGATTTCAGATCAAAGCCAGAGCGTGGTGTACACAAAGCTGTGTGTGTTGGTGAAAACTCTTGAAGGCTACACAATGTGCACTAAAATTATGCAATTGTTTTGCCAAAGTAAAATTTAAGTTTACAACTGCATTCGTTAACACTTGGAGAACACGTTTACAAGATTCTAGAAAATAAAAGAACAATATTTTTGCAATACAAATGCAGATATACTCATTCAGAAGAGGTTCAATGTGATATGATGTGATTTCATTTCATTCAATATGTTTTTTTTCTATATGATGTAGGTAGTGCATCCATGTTCTTACCAGAAACAAGTGATACACATTCACCGCCTGTCTGAGCACAGCTTGCTTTGTTTTCTGTAAAGTACCTGTCTGCCCAACTCTGAGCCTCTGAGGAATTCATCCACCGAGGCTCCTCTCCTCCTCGCATGAGGAGAGTCGTAGCCATCCTCCTCCTCGTCAGAGTTGAGTGGATGCAAGGCGTTACCTCGCTCACTAAAGATATTTCTTTTCTCAACCTGATAAAATAAACGTTATTTAGAATGAAAAAATATCCAAATAAGTTAGTATAACATTCCTACCATCACAGTTTTTTTTTCACAAAACAAAGTTTAACATTTTTCAACTTTGTGCTAATGTAGTTTCCTAAACATTTTCAAGAGACATACAGTTCTAACTTACCAATACTAGTTGTTGTGTAAATGGCTTTTAAAGCATGCTGACTTTCAGAAACAAGTTAACTCACCCGGTTGCCCTCGGCAAACACTCTCTGGGCAGCTTCCCTGGCCATGGCCTTGGCGAGGGTGTTGGGGATGGGGGCTCCCTGAGGCTGTGGCAGGATCCTCTGAGGAGAGGGCGATCGCCGTGGCTGGAAGTGCGGCGGCTCCAGGTTGGATCCACGCATGGGAGGGAGCGGGGAGGGGGATCGCTCCCAGGGCTGGGCTGTCCGAAGTCCCACCTCATGCTCTTTGGTTTCTGGGTCTCTGGCACTTACTAAGGGTTTGGACTTGGGCATGGGGTGGCTCTGGAAATGAGTCTGGGGATGAGGTGGGGGTTGGCACACGGGCTGTGAGTGCGGCTGTGCGTGGGGCAGCGTGTGGGGCTGGGCTTGAGGCAGAGGCTGCACCTGGGGCTGAGGATGATTCGGGGGGTACGTTGACGGGTAAGGAGGATGGGTTTGTGAGTGTCCCGGATGGGACTGTGGGTGGGCCATATGGTGGGAAGGTGCATTGGTTCGTTGGGAGAGGCGTGGAGAACCCAAGAGATTGTTTGGGATGATGGCCACGGACGAGTCCTGGGACTCTCCTTGTGTTGACAACGTCCTTACAATGAGTTCCCTGGCCTCCAGACACTGAATCCTGTTTAACTCCACAGTCACATAGTCTGCTGTGGGGTATAAGACCTCTGCTATCTGTATTCACATGGGAACCAGAGATTTTTTTTTTTTTTACCAAAGGGCAATTAAAAACGTCAGCACACAAAAGTACATACTCTGAAATCCTACTATCATACAAACTAACTGCCTTTCTAGCTCTCATACCTGTTGGCTGAAGAGAAATACCTGATTATTAAAAATCCCTAAAAGACACACACAGATTTGTAGATGTTGGAGCTTAAGCGCAATACAATGACCATGTTAAAAACTAAAGACTTACAGGCCTGTTGGAAAAAGGTCACCTTTTTCTCTCCATCAAGCATGCAGATTTGTGACACATTTGCTCACATACACACAACAAAAACATTAGCTCCTTGTGGAAAAGGGATTTTATACTGGTGCAGCACCATGGAGCCTACGCCAGCTCTCTTTTTTTGAAGTTATAGCTAAAGTGATGTCTGTCCCAGGGAGCTGGATACGAGCATTCTATAATTTCTCCAGGAGATGGCAATAGAGCACTACTCATAGATGTCACCGTTAAGGAAGGCAAAACCTTTTCAAAGACTTGTATTATAACGACTAACAAAAATACTTGTTCTGACATTTGTTACCTTTTGTCCCTTTGTGCACACGGCATAGCCAATCACACTGGCCCCGTTAGAGGTTCCTGAAGACGTCAGATGTGGCGGCTTCCATCTGACCTGCAGGACCCCCGGTATCTGACCACACTGGACCTGCACCTCCTGGGGAGGGAGAGGGGGCCCTGGGGAGCACAACACACACACTGGATAAGGAGAGAAAAAAAATACAGCTCAACAGTTGCCGAACCATTTCTGTTGATCAAAAAATATCAGTGCAATGGACTTTCTACATTCAATAGTCATTTCACAGTGGTATTCTTGGGTAACTGAATTATGTGTGAGCCTAACCTCATGGTATTACCAATAATTGTATTATAAACATAAAAATCTAAGTCATTATGAAAGTATTTTTGATTTCAATGAAATGAAGAGTTGATATGTGTTGCTGTGATACACTGAGCCAGTGACAGCTGAATGTATTATCTATTATATTCAAATATTGTTATTTGTAGAATGATTTTTGTGATATTTATGCTCATCTCTGTGATGTGTGTCCCCAGATTCATTCATATGCATGTAGTGCGCAGGCGGTACATTGACAGAAAAAGCAAAGTTTGCCAACATGCGACCATCAGTGTACATGCAGCAATATCCTGTTGCCAGATTCTTCACTGACAATATTCTATGGAGCATCAAAAAAACACAGTGTGCTATTTCCACAATGTGTCAGTGCTGCTTGCATACTAAACAACATACCCATCTGTGCAGTGCTGCTGCTCCCCTGCATTCGCACAGTGAGAGAGAGAGTGAGCAGATGCAGTCAGCAGAATCTCCGAGCTGCAACGTGCAACTGTTTGTTTGTCCGTGAATCTCCATCAACACACAATCTTGATCACATTTCTATACTGACTGTCAGCAGGCATCTTGGAACAGCAGCAGTGGTTGTTTGGAGATTTAATTTCCTCTTGTCATTTTCAAACTGTCATAAACAACGAGCTCCTCTGAGAGCTGAATTGAGTGTATAAATGAATATTTCAGTGGAGCCACTATCATTAATACTGGACGCAAACAGCGGACACTAATTTGTAGTCAGGGAATTGGAGGCTGCTCCGTGTGACTAATAATAATAAAAATGGTATCTCTAAGAAGTAATGAAGTTGTTTGGAGAGCCCATGCTGAGTGTGAAAGCCTAATATAGGGCCTCCAGACAATGTTCTTCTTATTGACAGCAGTTGTTCAGCACCGATACTGACACTGTTTCAGACGCTTCTAATTAACATGTCCAATAGATAGATTTCTTAATGAACTCGCAGCATGTTAGCTCATCAGCTGCCAACAGAAAATGTCAATTCAAACTTCAGCCCTACTCTCTCCCTGTCCTCCCCTCTCTTTGTCTCTCACTACCATTGTACCTTAGTATCTGCACCCACATTTGGCTAACTACACAGTATCTGTAGATTTACAGACACAAAACAATGCTATAAATGTAGCTGGCTGTGGAGACAAATCACATTCTCACTTTAAAAGATCCCCGTAGCCAGACAGTCAGGCTGTGAGACCAGCATCACCAGGTCTCATGGGAGAAGAAGTCCCAGAGATCTGCGCTCACTATTTACACAAATCTGCTTTCGAGAGACACTGTTTCCAGTGTAAAAGCTCCAATGTTCAATGTTTTCTCATTGCACTTTTTTTTCCGTCGTGTTTCTACCACATGTGTGACTTATCGCAGTAGTACACACACAAATCCTTGAGGGCAATTTAAAAGTGACTTGGGAAAAATGAAAATGGCTGAGATGTTTGTCAAGTTTGCAAATGTAATAGGCTTGAAGCGTGCGGCTGAGTAAATAAATAGATTGCTGTGTTGGATGTAAATTATCCGACTGCTTTCATTTTGAGATACCAGATGACTTTGAAAGAGAATATTAGACTGCAAGAATGGCAATCAGATTGGTGGTGGCACGAGAGCAATGTTACCCCTTTATCATAAATACACCTTTTACACAAAACTTACAAACTGGCTGCATTTGCAGACACTAACAAAACTAAGACTTTGGTTCAGTCTGAGCGCTCTCTTGTTTCCAGCCACAACCGGTACTTGTATTAAAAGAAAAAAGCTCTGTTGAACCCACTGTATGCTATCTTCCCAGCACCAAAAAGCAGAAAGACAAAGCTTGCGCATACAAAGTTGAGCATTTACTGTATATATATTGCATCTTTCTAGTCTTCCAACGAATCAAAACGCTGTACACTACATGTGTACATTCACCCATTCACACACACATTCATAGACTGATGTAGAATGCAGATGGCATACAAGTGTCACCTGCCCATCAGGCTCTAAACTAATTCACACACTGATGGCACAGCCTTCAGGACCAATTTGGGGTGCAATGCCTTGCCCAAGGACAGTTCGAAACCCTGGAGGTGCCGGTCTGACCTACCTCTGAGCCACAGTCGCCCCTTAACCTTACTGTCCTGCTCGACAAAAAGTCAGGGCATCCCAAAAGTCATTAGGATACATTCTGTCGGAACTATCTGTATGAATGGCAATACTTCAGTCTGGACCAAAGCAGTGGACCGTGAGACCAACCAACAGACTGACATTGCCATCCCTTAAGCTGTGCTAGCATGGCTAAAAATATCCCAGTAGGTCTAGCCGTGACTATAAAACCATACAGCACAAAGAAAGAAGACCCTGCTTTTCTGTGGTTTACTGGACAGATCAAAGTAATAATGTGAGTGTTGTTTTAAAGGCTGACCTGCAGGCTGAGTGCAGAACTCCACAGAGATTTCCCTCTTCTCCCTTTGATCCATCGGAAGCTGCCAAGGCACCTGATGTGGCTGTGCCACAACCTTCACCTTGTAAACTGTCATGGGCTTCAGGTTGAAGAACTTGTACTTATAGCCCCCCGCCTTGACCATATCGTACTCTGCACCATTGAGGAATATGGTGTGACTGTAGTTGCTGTTGCTGGGCATCCAAGAGAGCTCAGCAGAGACCTGCGTGATGCTGTCCACCCGCAGGTAGTAAGGTGCCACCACCACGTCCTTTCCCACGAGCAGAGTGCACCGGAGCTCGTCCGACGGGCCCCGGTCAGTGATGCTCTGCACGGAGATACGATAGGTGTTTGTGACCAGATTGAGCTTTTCAAGAAGAGTCTTTGTCCTGCCCCCGTAGGGGACACTCATGCGGAACTCCTTATCCACCAAGACATTGTAGCCACTGATGGAGCCCCAGCCCGGTGGGACCACAGGAGGATCCCAGCCAATGATCACACTCTTGGCCAGTTGTTTAATCAGGTTGATGCGGCGGGGATAAGGCACAATGTCTTCACCGACCTCGTCAGTGCTGACATCCAGGGTTCCTGTCCCATTGCTTGAGGAGCCCAGGAGGTCCATGCCCAAGCTGCTGGTGCTTATACAGTCTAGTTTACTGTCAGACAGCAGGCTGCTTATGCCTGTTCTTGTGCCAAGTTTCAGTCTCTGAGGCCCCAGGCTACTGTGATTGAGGTAGCCAGGTTCTTTAGCCACTGTGTCCCTGTGTTGGACAGAGGTTGTCTCCTCATCTTGGACAAATTCCAAAAAATTGGATGGGACGAGTCCCCGTTGGCCATCCAGCAGCTCTCCTGAGAAACAAAAAGCCGATAGTCGGTATTGTGGTGATATTAAGGATAGAGGATTAAACCATACCAAGGCAGGTCAGACCTTCATAGAAGCCGTCGTCATCCATTGTCCCGTAAACGTAGAGATACTTCCCTGCCAACAGGGGGAGCTCTGCCTCAGGATTCTCATTAGGCCCGTCATAAGGATTGTAACTACAGCGAAAAACATAAACGGCCAATTCAACTGCAAGCATTTTATATTTTCTTTATGTAAACCAGTTATCTAATATGTATGTCAAGGAAAAGGTATTTGTTGAGTGCTGCTTTGAAAATATTTAATTTGTTTCTATTTTTATCAATTTATTCTGTTTTTTTTTTTTTTATAAATATGAGAGAGCTGACTACAGTGTGGGTTGAAAGCTCTGGCCCTGCTTCACATATTTGTGCTCTGAGGATTTCAATTATTTTTTGTGCTGACAGGTAATTTTCTTTAGAAATAGAAACACTGAATCATCTTTAAGACCACAGCCTCAAGCTCTGTGAGAGAAATCAAATAGTCTCAGCAAGATGTGTCCATGACTTGTTCACACTGAGCAGCCAGTTCAGTTCAGTGGTATGTGAAGGATATTTAGCCACCTCTCTTGTGAGTTATCTCTCTTTCTTTGAACAGTCAACTGTTGAGGGGATTGTTTGTTATGTTAGCACAAAGCTCCTGTTAACACTTACACTGAAAATGCAGTGACAACCACTAAAATATTTCCAAAGTTAAAGCACTTTAAGGAACTTCATAGAACTTGTTGGGAACAGTAAGGCTCTCATCCTACACTGATCTGATTACTAACTCTAGAAAGGGGTTGTATTTTTGTCTGAATTCAGTTATTCAAATGAAACAATATACGTGGTGAAGAGGTGAATAAATAGCTGTGTGTGGGTGTGCACGTACCTGTACCGAGCAATACACAGACGAACCTTTCCTGTGAATCTCGGTTTGGACCTGGTAGTTGAGCTGAGCTCTTTGTCCATCTAGAGAATGTGAAAAAGACACAAATAATCTTATTTTCAACATCAAATTCTCCTTGTTTGTTTGTTTTCACCTTTCACCTCATTTTCAGAAAACCAGAGCAGCAAGTATTCTTAATTGAAATTATGAGCAAATTTCCTAATTTGAGTTTAATATAAAAGTTTACAGAGAGTGTAAAAGCAAAAATACTGGGTCTGTCAATTGGTGTATTTGCTCTGGAAGTTGCTGAAAGTCTTCCAAAAAAAATGGAAAAAAGCACAGAATATACATGATATTTCTTTTGTTTAAACTGTTCACCTCCTGCGCACTCACAATAGTTTTGATCCATCACCAAGTAGCCAGCCTGCATGAGTAAACCAGGAAGCCTACTGCATCCCAGCTGTGTGGATTTTCTCTTGTTCAGACACAAAATCTTTTTTTACAATCTGTTGCAACAGATCTAACATTGATGAGTTGAGCTCACTTAATGCTGTTCATGAGACACTTTTTAATGTTGTCACTTGCTGTTGGTTGAAGTTCACATACCTGACAACCGGTTTTCATTTGGAAAAACAGGGCAGAATAAAGCATCTAAGTTGTTGGGGATTCTTCTCTTTGCAGCCCCACATTGTCATTTTGGATGTTTAGAAAGATTTGCCTTGTGCGGTTTGAAGTTTGTTAGATGTCAAGCAAAGTGTAAATGGAGAAATATGCAATAAGGCACAAACCATATGGGAAACAAATAGAAACAATCAGATACCTCAGGGAGGAAAGCCCGTGCTGGGCTGCTGACTCGACCGCGAGTGAGGAATGTTGGCTTGACAGAAAGGAGCTCTGGCTTGTCTCCACTGATCTGGAGTGGACGAATGAACTCAGACATCAAAGATCTGCTTGTTGGAGCCTCATTGCCTGTGGAACAAACAAAACGTCTCTCATCAGATCACAATACAACAGAACTAATATCAAAACGTGTGACTCAAAAGAGAGAGAGAGAAAACAGAAAATAACTCAACATTTTAACATTGTGTCTGGCATTATCTAAACACATAGTGATTTACACTGTATTAAAATGTAATGCAAACCACAAAACAGTACCAATAACGGTAACAGTAACTGTATATGACATGATACTCACTCTCCTTTAAAGGTACTACTATTTTACAAAAAAAGGTTTTTCAAGCAGGTTTCATTAGAACCGTTTCCAAAAATTCGTAAATTTGTTTTTATTTAAAACTTTAATTGTTGAATGATACATACTATGCAATTAGTGAAACATTTGTATATTCACAAAAGCAAGTCAAAAACAAACAGAACAAGTTTTGCCAGCTAGAGGCTATTTCTCGCTAAGATTGATTATTTCATTAACAGTTTGTGTTTACTGCGTATTAAGTCAGAAGCCTCCCAGACTTCTGATTTAAGCTGCAATGTGTTCCCCTCATTCTGAGGGAACGGCCTCCTCTTCCAATATGTACAGTGTACGGAGTTACTGCCAGCAGCTCCACACTGTGGACTCAGAAATGATACATTTATTCAATTGCACAGCGGCAAATTAATTTAGTTTCATTTATTCATTTTGGTCGTAAATGGGATTTCAGCCGCTTCAAAATATGACATTAAGTCAATATTACTATTTTCTCTACTAAAAAATACTTAATATATGAATATGAGACGTATCGGAGTAAAAGCAATAGCTTCATCTCAGCATAACGATCCTAGACGTACCTTTTCCTATGGGGGCAGCCAGTCCATTAAGGAGCTGTGAGAGGGATTTGTTGGGCGACCCAGGAGATTCAACAGTTAAGGGTTCAGTGCCGAGGATATCAAACTTCCCAGCCTGGAGCCGGAACTTCTCCAGCTCTTTTGAGAGGAGATTGAACTGCTCACTCTGAGACCGACATTTTTCCTCCAGCTCGCGAACTTTGGCCTGATGGTGGTGAGGGAGGAGAGTCGTCAAGAGAGAGGAGTGAGAGAAAGAGAGAGGCAGACAGAAAGAAGGACGGACAGACAGGGGCAGGGAGAGAAAGGATAGGAAACATAGGACAACAACAGAAAAAACAATAAGGAAACCAGACGATGCAGGACTGAACATTCTGCACACAGAAATACTAGAGGACATACAGTAGAGCAGGTACGTATATACGATGCTATACGTCTACTGTCTACACACAAATAGGAATACGATTTAATTTAGGACTCATAACATGTGGATTGGTCATTACATAGAAAAACATATTAAATGACTTTAACCAACAGCATACAGATCACATGCACAACTACAGGTAATACTAATAATACTGAAAATCAAAACATACTGTCTTGCATCAAGACAGTATGCACACCCAAACTGCACAGTGTCTTAGAGAATGAGGCTGAGGATGTTCTTTAATTTGTATTATTGTCAAGTAATCCCTTATAAAGACCAAAACCAACAATAATTTGGTCCTACTGACAACTATTGTCTTATTCCTCTGTGCCATAGAGCTCCATTGTTGTTCAAAACAAATCAATGAGCCACACTGTCACACTGGGCAACATGCTCCTTTATAATGATCAACATGGGCTTTGTGGTTTATTTGAAAGGAGCAGTATAGAATTTAATGACATCCAGCTCAGAGAGTGCGGATTGCAACCAACCGAACACACCTCCGCTCACTTCTCCCTTTTCAGCCGTGTCCCAGAACTACGGTGGCCTCCAGGTAACACGAAAACGCAAACGGCTCTCACTAGAGCCAGTGTTTGGTTTGTTCATTCTAGGCCACTATCGAAACATGGCGGTGCAACATGGTGGACTCTGTAAAGAGGACCTGCTCCCTATGTAGCTACAAACGACTCATCCTAAACTAACGAAAACACAGTGATTCCTAGTTTCAGGTCATTATACACTCATGAAAACATAGTTATGAATATTATATTCCATTTCTGCTGATAAATCCATCTAAATCCTACACAATGGTCCTTTAAGTCAATCCCACAAACTGAACACCGTCCTGCTTCTGTAAATACTCAGTAGAGCCCAAAATGTGCATTAATCTGTAGCTGAAAATAGTCCACAGCAAACGCACTATTTGCTTCTGTTTGGGTTTGTTAAATGTAAGTTTGTTAACATTTGCTAAAAGCTACAGCACCCCTTTGTTTTGGGTAATAACTTTTTTTTTTGTTAAGTAGGAAAATATATATTTGTGACAATACATAATTTCTGTTTTTAAAATGTACATGCTCATTGTAAATAATTGGAGATGGGACTGAAAGCCACAGACAGGGTAGGGGAGTTAGTGCATATTGTTGGTCCTGGTCATTCCATGGGATTTGTTGACAATGACAAATATATAAAATAACATCAGCCGTATACTTTAAGAGCAGGAAACTTAATTAATACAATAACAATAACACTGACAAACTGAGCATGATTGTTTGGGCAGGTATAATTGAAATTCCAGGTGCTAGAGCATGATGTCTCAAGTCGAATGATGATTGAGGATTAATCATCAAAAATCACTTTCCAATCTCAAACTGATAACAATCTGAAGCCCATAATGCTCTGGAGGACACTGAAGCTACCATGGAATTATTTTAGCACTGCCCAACACACAGCAGAGACCCCTGTATACTGCAGCGCTCTCTATGCTCTGTTAAGACACGGAGTCCATTTCATGCACACAGATTGTTGCCGGATAGAACATGCTGTTAGCACACAAACAACGAAGGAAGTCTTGTAGTTGTGAAATAGAATAAGTTAATTAAGAGGCATTCGTTTCAATAGCTTCATACACTTCTCAGCTGTATGGCAAATAGAGTTTTTAAAAACACATGCTGAGTAACAGACATGCAATGTTACAACTAAAGGATCACATTCATCACTGATCCTTTGATAATAACACAGTCTTACTGTATGCATAGATACACAGATGTAATGACTAATATTTATGTACTCTAGGTACAAAACTGAAAAGTTTTCATTATAAAATATCTGCAATACATAAAGACTTCCAGACTTCTTTTTGCAACATAATTTACCAATTAAATCGATTTTCTCCATGAATTTATTGTAGCCTGAAATTTGTATTTGCTCACATTTAAACACACACTTTTAACACGTGTTTGGTCTGATAAAGTTAAATTTGCACACCTCGATGTGTTGATGGGCTTTGATTATGTGGGATTGAGGTCGGTCAGTGAGGCCCCAGGCATTCCTCTTTAATTGAAGTCGATCCATATTCTGAATCTTTTCATCAATTGTTAAGCGAGTGTCGCTGAATTTTTCTTTATGATCAAGTCAGAAAGACCTCCAGTTTATGCTGTCAGTCAAGTTCCAGACTTTCAAAAAGCTCTCCACTTGTGAGTTTGCTTTGATGGGAAATGTGAAACAGAGCTGAGTGGGTAGTAAAGCCCAAGAAAAGAAGCAGCCCTGAATATTTCTGAAAACCAAAAAGCAAAGAGCACACATCAGATTAGTTCTGAACTGATGTATGCTTTATAAGTTACCTTTTATCTCTTGAGTACCACTTGTATATTTTATCATGTTTATCATTAATACAATATGTAGATCATGATGAATAATTGTTGTTTGTAATGTGGTGTTTCATCACCATGCCTCCTGGGCCAAAGTAAACATGGGGCTACTATTAACTATACTGGGAAAGGTGTCAAAAAATATTAAGTAAATAAATAAAAACAATTCTGAAATACCTGCATGCTGTCCAAGTGGTTCTGTATAAGCATAAACACACACCCATTCAGTAAAAAGAGATGTAGGAAAGAAATAAAACACAATTACACATGTGATCACTCATACACATCTTGAAATTACTGTCAGTTTTGACACCCGCTCATACGCATCATCACCTTATTACAATGCTAAAAGAAAGATGAAACAATAGACAGATAATGGCAGTCTGTTTACGATTTATTCACCTCTCTGAAAACGGCTATTTACACATCTTAGTTAAGTTTAAATGTGTAGCTCACAGGTGAATTTAACAATATTGTGAAAAGAAATCTACTCAGCCTAGGATTTATATCTTAAAACATGAGCACTAAAGAAAAAAAGAGCATAAAGGTTCAGTGAGGTCAAGAAGAGCAGGAAATATTTCAAGGTATACACAGGTCTGCCCCGGGGCTGACTAGTCCCCTATCCTTCAGCAGTAACCACATAAACACACAGTCAACCCCCCCCCCAGAGTCCAGACGCTCACCTCTAACAGATGGACAGCGCCTTCATGATCCTTTTTTGCCTCAACCTGAGCCTGGGAAATACAGGGTGCAGTGTTTCAGTTCACTTTCATTTATGTTGCAGTCCCGCTCCAGTCTAAAACGCCAATCAAAGGCCTTTGCAGACAAAACGGAAACACCTTTTCATTCATTAGTGTTTTGGGTGAAAATGGTTGAAAAGAAAGCCACCGTGTCTGTCAACATTATGAGAGGCCACGATGAAGGATGGCTCTCATCTGCACTTTATTTATTTACCTCACATTTAAGATTTTATAACAACGTTGTAGCCTATTCTTACTTAACCACAACCAGCTCGATATACTGTGGCTTTTCTTGCACCATTTTCACCTTCTATATGTTTTTTTATTTTTGTCCTATTTAATTGTCAAAACAGTGAGTTATGCAACGTCCACATTAAACAATTATGTGCATGCAAGAAACTTAATGTCCCCAAGGAAGTATTTCTAATTCAGTTTACTGAACTTACCTGTGACGACCACTTGCCTGAGAGCATCTAAACCAGAGGTCAATGAGAGTGGTTTGATACCACTCTCATACCTGTTTGTCTGCCAGCGACTGTTTAGTTTAGCTTAGCATTAAGACTGACTAGGCTGCCTCTGTCCAAAGGGTACAAAAGAAAATCCACCTACCAGCACCTGAAAAGCTCATTAATTGACATTTATATCTCCTTAGTATGGAAGCAACAATTTGTTCTTTGATGGGGGGGGGGGGGGGGTTGTTATGTGCCAGCTTATTTCTTGGCTCTGAATAGTTACCATGCGACCAGCGGAGACTCCAGGAAGTTACTGGCCAGCAAAAGAGTCAACGTGATGTGCAGCATTTGACCCAATGGCCTACAGGACTCTTTACAGCATACCTCACCCCCTAATGGCTCTTTCTAAAAGACAAGCTGATATAAAGAATAAACTATTTCAAGAGAAGCAGACTTTTTTTAAATTAAGTTGAATGCAACTGATTCCTGCATTACAGGTCAGACTTTTTTTTAAATTAAGTTTAATGCAACCGATTCCTGCATTACACACAGAAAGCTACCCTTATCCTGGTTCAAGTGGCCTCTCTCGTCAAGAACAACCTGGCCACTGGCCCACAGGTCATTCAAATTTGAGAATACCTCATCTAAACTGTCCTGAAAATATAATCCCAGTTATCTCATTCTCCAACTGAAACCCAATTTATTTGTTGCTACAATACAGTATATTGGAATGCAGGTGCGACTTTGGCTAGTATTTCCTTCTGTGATGATAACCTACTGTAGATGTTATTCAAACAATGAACATGTTGCCAGAGTGTATGTTTGAATGGTCGGTTGAATTACATTCAAGAAAAATGGCTTTGACTTAACGTGCTGTGCAAATGTGTGCAAATTTGTGCAATTTTAACAAGCACATGTTAAACGATGTTCCATCAATAATAACTTAAGGAGGCTAGTGCAATCAAGGGGGATGCGGTTTGGATATTATAGAAGCAATAAACTGTGTAGAAATGTAGCGTATGTGCCATTTTTCTTATGGGAACTAGAAACATCTGTGTTCCACATGAAGAGCATCTGTGGACTTTGCGATTTCATAAATCTACTTTGCAGGCAATTAATTTAGCAGAATGCAAAGAGCAGCAAGTGTTTGAACGAAGATAATGCAGTAATGAGCTTCTGTTAATGAGAGAAAGAAGCCGAGAACTCTGCCTGCGAAAGGCGGACCGTGAAGTTAGAGCAACACTGCAGCAACAGCAACACTGGGGTATACACACTGTTTCTAGAGAAGGCATTTGTGACAATTCCTATCACATTCACACTAAAGTATCAGCCATCGCAGCCATTGCTATGCTCGCTTTGACATTACAGTCAGCTCCAGTGCACAGAGGTCCGACCATCAAATGGCCCGGGCCAGCATTTCTGTTTAAGCAGGCCTCTAAAAAGTGTCAAATCTACTCTGGGTTTTGAATGTTGGATTTGCTTGCTTGTAACAAACAAGAGGATTGCTCCTGAAATGTTGAGCACTCGGGGTTTGGAGAGAGATAGACAGCTGAAGGATGGGGTTGAGAGGATGCACTGGGAGAGCTCTTGTAGTGCCAGTGATGAAAATGTTGAGAGAAGTGAGTGCTACAGCCCCTTTACTCTGCTTCAAGTCTTCGAGTTGACTTTCACCTTTGCTGGAACAAAAAGCTCTTTGACTCATGACAAGGGCCCAGGCTGAGCAAACAAGGAAGCCCAAAGTTCTGGTGCTGTGAGTGTAAGTAGCCTGAGCTTCCTTACCGTCTGAAGAATTTCAATCTCCTGCTGCTTTGCATTGAGTACAGCCAAGGCCTGCTCATGCTCCAACTCTAGCTGCTGCCTCCGCTCTGCAGCCTCGCGCATATGCTGTCCGCAGGGGGTGCAGGGGTGGAGAGCCGGGAGGGAGGAGTGTATGGGGGAGGGGGGGAGCATAGAGAGGGCTGCTGTTAGTGGAACTAAAAATCCATCGGCACTGAGCCAACACAAAATGCATCTCCAGTCTTCGACTCCACACTCAGAGACAACACAGGTGTTACATGTGCACACACACACATATCACACATCCGTCATACAGAGGCTGCTCAGCAGTGTACTGACCTTTAAACCCTTAACAACAAGAAAGACATAAACTACGCCACAGCAAATGCCATGTGAGAACGGTTTATGTTGAATGATCTGTGGGAGAGATCAGATCAAATTTCGCACATAAGGTGCTTATGGAAGACGACTAGAGATGCTTTGCTGTGTGAACAAAACAAAAAAAACTAACATCAATCCACAGTGAGGTTTGCTGCCCTCTTTAGGTAACACAATCAGAAGTCTGCATGGTTACTGGTACTGTTTGAAAAGCTGTCCTCGGTTATGTTGTCTTTGTATGATCAATACAGGGTTTTTTACGTTACATGAAAAGGGTGAGCAAACTCTGTAGCGTGCTCATTTGTCTGTGGTCATCCATAACAACAAAAGAAGCCATACAATACAAGGGACTGAATGCTAGGCTCTTCATAACACAGTAAATATGGCCGTGTCATTCAGTCACATCACTACTCCCACTATATGTGAATACTTGCGATACTGTCAGGTGAAAGAAGCAAATTACATTTTCATGCCAGTAAAAATTAAGGTTCTAAGATAGGTAATGTCATCAGACTCGTAGGTGACATTATCATCATGAAGGGTGACACAGTCTCTCTATTTCCTCTTCCTCCCCCTCCCGTCATCAGAAAGCCAAACTCTTTGTCCTGCCTCATGCAAAACAAATCACATTCCACAGTGATGTGGTCGTGTAGCTGGTGACCATTTGTATGTTTTGGTAAGCAGCCCACGGATATAGGGAGAGATAAGCACAGCCACTGAGGTGGACAGAAAGCATTCAGAATGGGATTGAACAGGACTGCTCCCTAACAGATGGACATAGCAGTGATACCTGAAAAATCTAGCAGGGGGAGAAGGGACAGGGAAGGAGGGAGGGGACAGGTCAGGGAGGGTAAGACAACATGAAAGGGTGGAACAGGAAAGGAAAGGGAGGCAGACTGCTCCAAGCTTCTACTCTTTCACAGCTCCTGGTCAGACCTCCCAACACGACACTGGAAGGCAACAGACATGTCAGGGACATTAGACAGCATAGCGGAAGATAACGAGATGGAGGCAGTGTAGCACAGGTAGGAGAAGGGGTACTGGCAAGGGGTTAGGCTCCATAAAAACACCTGAATTAGGATCCCGGGATAGACCAACTACGAGGACTAGAAATGCACACAGTTCTGAGAGGCAGTGCGGTCAAGTCTGCCCTTGGAGGTGGCTTCCTCACCTTGAGCACCTGCTCTAGGTTCTCCAGTTTGCCTTGGAGCTTGTTCCTCTCCCACAGGGCTAAATCTCTCTCCTGCGTCACAGCACCAAGGGTCTCTTTGAGCTGGGCATACTCAGACTTCACCTGTGCAGACAGAACAAGCAAGGAGCAAAGAGACTGAGTTTGAGAGTGCAGCTGTACTACAGCTTATTTTCTTTGGGTCAAACCAGGCTGTTTGGTATTTGGGTTTCTCACTGACCTAAACTGATTTTAAGCCTTTTTTAGGAATGCTTGGCAGGTTTATGTTTTTCATTGCAGATAGGAGCGTGGCTATTCTCTCAGATATAGAGTTCACCCTATGACAGTGATGTAGGCATAGAAAATGGATAAATGGATGGATATTGTATACATTTACTTTTTTCCCCTTTTTAACAAGCAGTATTTCTTTTGTTTTGTATTTCCTCGAGGCCAATCAGCTTTTATAAATGCCTCTCCTTCCTCATAAACTTTTGCATAGCCGATTTTTGTTATCTCTCTGTCTCTCTCTCTCTATATATATATATGTATATTTATATATGTATATACTGTTTTGTGTACATCCATGTTAGCTAACTTCCAGTCTGCTTCTTCCCTGCATTTTGCTGGTGCATTGCTACTTTATTTGACACACCACTGCCATCTGACAGTCAGCTTAATGTAAAACCATTAGCAGAATGTGCATCGCATCACCCGCGTTCTTGAATGCAAACTCAGATGGATACAAACACAGTAGGGGCCCACTCTTCAACTCTAATGAGGAAAAATACCACAGGGTACCCTTAAGGGTGGCTCAAAAACCGTGGCACCATTACCTAACCACACCATGTGTGCATTAAGAAAACCTATTTCACGAGCTTCACATTAAATGCATCATTGCAGACTATAATAACAGTGTCATCGCTACAGGGGGGTGGTAAGCATTAGCCAATGTAGCAAGATGATACATTTGCTGAATAGCAAATTCCCCCGATTCACACTAAGGAACTAAAGATGGAGTGTGTTACAGAGTCATCATCTCATTAGATTGTGCTTTTATAGTCATATAACCAGCTGTCGTATGATTAAAAAGCTGTTATTCTATTCTATTAAATAATACAGCTACATTAACCAGGGACAGCCAAGCACTCAATTAACAGTTTGCCACTTGTTTCCTTTATAGGATTGACAAACTGTCAGGAACACCATCTGATGGTCCAATTCTATAACAACACAAGGTACCTACAGAGTTGAATCAGTACCTTTTTTTACAATACCAACAAAAACACAATGCGCTTCATAAAGGCAGACTTATTGCTTTGGATTGAATTCAATTGTACAGCTGTTCCTATTTTTCTGGTAGCCCCTGTTGCTCACTATACTGTAAAAGATATTTGCTTTAATGCCACTTAAAGCTTTCCTAGCATTTAAAACTGTTAAACTGTTACAGACCAGACGTGGAAGCTGGCTGGTATCGGTGATAAAAGCCTTTAAATATTATAATAATGCAAGAGTAACATAATTCACTGACTCCCATGGCTGTAGACCGAAAACATTAATGAATAATTCATGCTTCACTGTTAACCAAAGACTAAGCTTTGAATTGACTTGAAGCAATTGCACATTAAAATAATACTGTACACCAATTCAACACCAATGAGGTCTGTACTGCTGCTATGAACAACATATGAAAAATGTGACCATTTGTATTTCTACATATTCTTCACAATCTGTCCACAGACCACTTAAATTGCGTTACTTAAGAGGCAGAATTTTTCAATCAGCTTTTTAAAGGCCCCTTATCGGCAGCATGATGACTAGTTCCTGTTGCCGTAATGTGGCAAAACCCCTTCCTCAGAGCAGCCATCAATGACTAATGATTTCTCGAGGAGGGCGTTTCAACAAACACCAGCAAAGCAAAACACAAACACAAACCAGTGAGTCTGCCTCTGAACCGCCTTTCTCTACAAAGCAAAAACTGTCCGCATGGATAGCAGCGACTGTCAGACCTAATGTAGACAGATCGAACAAAACCATATTGGATTCAGCCGAAGCAGGTCAATAGTCTATTAAGGCCGGAGGGAAGTGCCGTTTGCAGCCCCTCCTAGTTCATTTAGTGACGATAGAGATCAAAACAAGGGGGTGTAAGCGAGGGCTAATATCCGCACTGCCCTGCAGGGTGCTGCTCTCATATCCGTCAGAGTGATAACAGTTCAGTATAGCTGCTCAAAGAGCCACCCAAATCCCGATAAGACGTCAATAACCAGCATTCCACCCTTCTTCACCCCAACAGCAACTACCTGCCAATCAGGTTCTTCAGGAAATTGCCTTCCTGTCCATAGAGAGAACCCTGGTGCTCTTTGTCTGTTGATCTACTTTAACTTTGCGTTATCAGCTCTGAAGGCCTTTGAGGTCTTGGGGCTAAAAGGAAGGTGAGGGTGTATGAATAGAATTGGAGCCTTGTTGCTTTCATTTATATGGTAAAATGACAGTGTGTTAATGTAAAGACCAGGGAGCATGTAGCCTGTGAAGAAACAAGACTTAGAGTCCACAGACACGCTAGCAGCTCTCTGAGGCTGAACTAAGGCACTGCGGTGCTTTTAGGCACAATGCTAATGTAACTACGCTAACATGCTTAAAATGACAATTCATATATCTTTGCAAGGTTTAAGGTGTTTAGTCTGTTAGCATGTTAACTTTTGCTAAATAGTACCAAACACAAAGTTTTGCAAGTATTTGGTCATAAACTATTGAAAATTGAAAAAATTAAATGTTGAACTGATGAAAAGTTAAGAAATCACCAAAGTTAGGACAATTCATCGTGAGACGAATATTAATGTCTATACCACATTTCATCAAGCCATCCAAAATTTGTCAACACATCACTTAAAACCTCTTCGTGGAGCTCGAGGAAAAGTCAGGGATCGCCTGACCAAAAATTCACAACAATTCATCCAATAGTTGTCTATGTAGAATAATATAGATATTTCATAGTAGCCCTACAAAAAAAGTCAGGGGATCACCAAAGTCACTACTAATGAATGTCAATGCCTCCAATAGTCCAAAAGTGGTTAACCGACACACAAACAGACTGACCAACATTGTCATCCATAGAGCCACGCCGCCAGCATGGCTAAAACCATGTGTTTAGTGTGCTCACAGGACAGATATGAGCTTAAAATCATTACAATTGGGAATGGAGCAGCACCGAATATGTAAAGAGTATAAAGTCAAAAAGTCAAAAGACCTTTTCGCATCTTACCTTCTCATACTCAGATGCTTTGTGGCTATTGTTGAAGAACTGGAGGTTCAAGTGTTTGTTCTTTTGGAGGAAATCTTGAAGCTCATTCTCCTAAACAAAAGAAGCAGAAAGAAAACAGTATTGAGAACCCGAAAAGTCGCCGTGATTAGACCAGAGCACAGCACTCAAACCCAGCCTGCTGTCAGCGATAGCTAATGCATTATTCATCTGAGGAGACTGCCCCAGGTTCTCTATGTTCTAGAAGCTGCCATTTTAGCCTCTACAGTAGAACAATAATAATGTCATAATACTGCCGTTTATGTCAACGCTTTAAACATACTGGAATAGATGTAATAAGAAACCATGAAATTCCTCTTCCACACACACATACACAAAGAGCCTCCTTTCCCCACTCACTTTCCAAGTGTTGAGCTGAGGGTAAAAAAAAAGCCTTCATTGCAGAGGAGGAAAACTTAATTACATTGAATCAACAGTTGTGAGGCGTGCCGTGGATGCAATTAGCAGTGTCAACTGGAGAGGTCTCTGAGATGTGCAATTCACTGCAGCTACAGCAGCATGTAGGCCAAGTGTTGTTCTTGTCGGGAGCTAGGAAACCTACTGGCTCATGCATGACAAATTTACTGTAAATGCGGTTCTTCTTAATGGCTAGTGTGGGTGAGCCTGCTCCTTCCCCCTTATGTTTTACTTATGAAGGATGTTTCAGAGGACAAATAGAGACGAGGAGATGAGATATAAAAAAAAAACATGCATTCAAGGGTGCACATAACAGACTGTGTTGTCGTGATGCTAATAACGCATTGTAAAATCAGCATGTCTGGTAAATGCACACCAATAACTAGGGGCTGGTCATAGCAATAAACCTTTTGCACAGAACACATTTTCAATTACATGTATCGGCTTCAGTTTCATGCTGGCTTGCTGTCACTTGGACACTTAAATACAACACAGCCAGCGTTAGTGGCGTTAGTAACACCTGTGCATCTCAAAATACCTGCGGTAGAAAAAAGCCTATGTTTGTGATGAACTCAGGTGGTGTGAGTATATATATAGAGAGAGAGTAAATTAGGCCAGATATCTGACACCAGACCAAGCATGGTCAAAAAGTTGGTGATACAATAAAGTAATTATGCAGAATTATTAAGATATTATACCCAAATTACAATGAAAACACGGTCACTAGAAAAATGCCCAATACAATTGGTATTTACATGTTCTGACATTGCTATTAGTTCTTCAAATTACTTGTATAAATGAAGGAAATGTGTTAATTGTGAAATTCATAAACATTCATGCATTACTATCTACAGGAGCTTGATGCACATTCTATACCCATAAATATTACTGCTACTATTACGAACACTACTGCTACTAATCACCACTTCTAATAATATTATTAATAATGATAAATTCTTATATGGACACATACTGCATGAACACAACTACAGTATATAGAGATGCACACCATGGAGGAGAAATCCTGCCAAGGACAAGCAGTGACGAGTAAACAACGGCCTGAAGACCAAAGTCATATCTGAGATCTGCTGCTTTTCCATTAATTTCATTTTTGTCACGTCCCCCAAAAAAAAAAAGAAATTGGCATTTCAACCTGCATCAATTGTGTCCAGTCAATTTTAATGCTTCCCGTACG